CCTATAAACAATTAATGTAATTAATAGTTTGAAAGCTATATATATATATATATATATATATATATATACAAAAAAGAATATTTTGTTTCATAGATGTTTTAGATTTCAAATACTTGAATATTTTGTGCAGTGTACATTGTAATCTTTAGTTTCACAATGGTTTAAAAAGTTAGTGGGTGTAAACTTTCAGTTTAAGGAATTATATCTAATGTAATTAAGTCTGAACACTTATGCAATAAGTGTATTTTTAATTCAGTAAAAATAAGTGCTGAAACACCCTTTATGTTTACTTAATGAGTGTATAATCTATAATCAAATTTTGTTTCTACGAAACGATTTGGCAAATGTTTTCTATTCTCCAAAGAAGCTCGAATAGCTTCCAGCTCATGTTATCATCTCTCCCCCCGATGGCACAGCGTTATGTCTGTGGACTTACAACGCTAGAAACCGGGTTTCAAGCTCAAATAGCTTCCAGCTCATGTTATCATCTCTCCCTCCGATGGCACAGCGGTATATCTGTGGACTTACAACGCTAGAAACCGGGATTCGATAACCGTAGTGGGCAGAGCACAGATAGCCCATTGTGTAGCTTTGTGCTTAACTTCAAACAAACAATGTTATATTTATAAATCGGATAAACAGAGTAAAATGTAATGAAAGTACAACGTTTCACCAGGTTAACCTGGCATCATCGGGTACATTAAATACAATGTTAAAATTCTTAGCAATGAAAAAGTATAAACCATCATAAAGTTAAGGAAGCCTAGCTTATAAAACAGTTTATGCCTAAAATAAATAAGTATTCTGGCACACAGTTGTATCTATTCTAACTTTAACTTAACTATGTTGATGTTCATAAAGGTTTTTTATATTATTTTCTGTGAATCACTTTACCTCTATTTACAATTTTCAAGTTACAGTATTTAATTTATATATGTTGTTGTTATAATATTTTATATTTTTTGAAAGAGTACTTATATTCTCCTATTTTGTTGGTTACGAACATTGACCCTCAAGAAGTCAAGCCCTATCAATAAACACCGTCCGGAAATATCATACCTTACTGTTAAATTTACCCAATCAAATTTACCCTTGTATTATTATATATATTTGTTGTTTCAATGGATTCATTGTAGTTGATGTACCCAGGTTAACCTGGTGAAACGTTGTGCTTTCATTAAATTTTACTCTGTTTTTCCTATTTATCAAGTTTACTTCTAAATACGACAGAGTACTTCCTTTCATCGTAAAACAATGTTATCATCTTTACACACATATATATACATATATATTTATTTTATGACCGATTTAGGAATTGTCATGTGTGAGTTTTTAATAAGAGGTTAAGATTTTTAGAAATTGAAATCCAGTTATTTTTAAATACTTGGCGCCCCACAGTGGCACAGCGGTATGTCTACGGACTTACAACGCTAGAAACCGGGTTTCGATACCCGTGGTGGGCAGAGCACAGATAGCCCATTGTATAGCTTTGTATTTAACTTCAAACAAATAAAAAATACTTGGCGGTAACAAATTATCCATGTGTTAGGAGGAGGCTACGTTAAAGTTTATTTGGGAGTAGAATATTAAGATTTCTTTTAGCTTTAAAAATATTAATATCCAGAGTTTAATATTATTTGCATACTGCAAGACATAAATGTTTATGGAGCTTTATATATTTCTCTTATAGAAAATCTGCCTATGTTGATAATCTTGGCTGGCGTGATTGGAGGAATAGTTCTTATAGTGTCTGTAACCATAGTGATAATTCTTTGTCTTCGCAGAAAACCTGACATGAAAGGTAACTCTAAAATAGTTATAGCTTCTTTTTCCATCTCTGCGTCACGTATATCTTGTTTTTTTAAAACGTATTTCGATATTTTATAGATAACAAACAGTATTAAATATGCTATTGTTCAAACTACTCTTGAATTGGAAAGAACACTGAGGTCACTACATATAATGCTTTTTGTATTTATTGGGATAAAGTTTTTGGAATTTGAAAATTGTATATATATATATATATTATAAATGTCTGAAAATGTTTACCTACCATGGTCATAAAACTCGAATAATTTAATTTCATATGCACTGTCTACAAACATTCATGCATTGCCATATTTTATGCTATCTTTTATATCGAACCTCAATTTTGAAAAGAAAAAGCTACTTATATGTCTTTAGTATATAACTAAGGAACTTTTAAATGAAATTTAAGGACTTTTTTTCCCTGTAATAAATTTCTGGACAAAGATTTTATGTTAGGTGCGTTCGTACAATTGATTATTCAGGCAGACTCAAACATAGCTGTAATGCTGAATAAAAGCATAGGTTAATATAAGAGTCAATATTTTGAGAATATTAGAGTTTCAGATACTACGCAGGAGCTTGTTGAAAACTATGTGTTAGTGTCAGGACAAACAATAAAAAATTAAATAAAACAGAAATGATTCAATGGTTGGATTCCTAGAAAAAAGCCTTTCATCAGAGCAGAAGCTAGAAGAATTATTGAAGAACTTTAAGTAAATAATTAGACGAATCAATTTGTTTGGCTCTGATGGGAGAACGCTGTTTGAAAACAGTCATCAGAAGAGAAGTGTCTGCAGTTCACTATGAAACATATAGGGGACAACATTAAAGCTGGGAGGGTTGAAGAAAGGTGTCTGCTGCCCACTATGAAACATATAGGGGACAACATTAAAGTTGGGAGGGTTGAAGAGATGTGTCTGCAGTTCACTATGAAACATATAGAGGACAACACTAAAGTTGGGAGAGTTGAAAAGATGTGTCTGCAGCCCACTATGAAACATATAGGGGACAACATTAAAGTTGGGAGGGTTGAAGAGATGTGTCTGCAGTTCACTATGAAACATATAATGGACAACACTAAAGTTGGGAGAGTTGAAAAGATGTGTCTGCAGCCCACTATGAAACATATAGGGGACAACATTAAAGTTGGGAGGGTTGAAGAAAGATGTCTTAAGCCCACTATGAAACATATAGGGGACAACATTAAAGTTGG